GGGGGCAAGAGGAGGCCAGTGTGGCAACAAAAGAGCAAGCAAGGGGAAGAGGAGGAGGACATGTGATTAGGAAGCCAAGGGGGTCCCTGGAGGGCCACTGTGAGGGGTTTGCCTTAGATTGCAATAGGAACCTATTGGAGGAGTGACAAGGTTTGATTGTGACTGTCTTGAATATCAGTAGATGGGATACAATATAAATATGATGTCATTTAGTGATGACTTCTATAGAGCCAAGGTGTTTTATGGAGCTGAGCTAAGATTTAGTGTCTGAGGAGTTTTATAGTTTTGGTATTTGTCCTGAAAAAAGGGAAGAAAGGAAGGAGGGAGGGAGCAAGGGAGGAACAAAGGAATGAAGGAAGAAAAAGAAAAGAAACCAACTATTGTTGAGACATTAAGAGTAGTAACTTTCTGCTTGGGTGGTATGACTCAGTGGTTGAGTGTCGACCCATGAACAAGGAGGTCATGGTTAAATGCACATGCCCGGGTTTCGGGCTTGATTCCCAGTAGGGGGTATGCAGGAGACAGTGATGAATGTTTCTCACATCATTGATGTTTCTCTCTCTCTCTCTCTCTCTCTCTCTCTCTCTCTCTCTCCCTCTCACTCTCCCTCTCCCTTCCTCTATGAGATCAATAAAAATATATTTTAAAAAAAGAAGTAGTAACTTTACAACATTATCCATGTTCCTGACAAACCTGGTAAATTAAAACAATCTGAAGAACATATAGTGTATTTATAGTTACAAAAAAATACATGATAATTCTTTGGTTTTGCTCACAACTTTCCTTTAAGCCAACACAAACTGCTACTCTGCCAGTTAAATATCTGCAAAATGCACAAAATTTGTATTTGGAAACATTTCATTGGCATCCTGGAAGTTCAATTAATTAATGTCTGTAAAGTACTTTGAGATCATCAAGAACACAAAATTGACCTAAAAACAAGGGTTTCCAATGACTGCAAAGAAGTCCATTATTTGGGGCATCTGTTTTACCTCTATACATTATCTTAGCAATCATTTCTCCTGATGACCATTATCAATCTATGCTATCTCACAGAGACTCAGAAGAGCTGGTCCTGAGAAGTAAAATGATAAATTTAGGAAAAGCTAATTATTGCATTGGTCTCTATTAAATTTGGCCTTATTTTATTAGCAAAAAAATAAAAAATAAACAAATTTCTGTTGAACAGTTCTCAAAGTATAGTCCACACACCCTTGGGGATTTCAAGACATTTGTACTACACTTGATCTTAGTCAAATGTCTTGAAGCAATCAAGACATTTTAGGTCTGCAAGGTCAAACCTGTATTCACAATAATACCAAGACGTTATTTTCTTTTTTCACTTGCATTTCTCTTATGAGTGTACAGTGGCGTTTTCTAGAGGCTATGTGTGCTATCTAAACAGATGCAGGAGAAGATGTGAGACTAACTTCTCTTTTCAAGCCAGACATGAAAGAGATTTGCAAGCCTGTTAAAGCAATGCTATTCTTCTCACTACTTTTTAAACTATAATTATTTTCATAAAGATGTTCTTCATGTTAAGATGTAATGGGTTTTTGTTATTTTAAGTGAATTAAATAAGGAAGTCAATACACGTTAAGTGTGTGCAAGGATCCTGAAATCCACTACTTTTGATAATCTTTGAACCATTACTTTTGAATGTACACTCCAAGAGGGCAGAGATTTTTGTGTTTTGTGAATCAATGAACAAATATTCCAAAGAGTACTTAGCATATAGTAACTGCTTAATAAACACTTGTTGAATGACTGACTGAATGAATGACTTATTAGTATTAAGATGTTAGATGAACTAACATGGGCTTCTTAAGGGCAAATGGTAATATTTACGTTTGTTGAGGTTTGTGCATACATGGAATTGTCTTATGCAGGCATTACAATTATTTATGAAAGGGATTCAGAATAAAATGAAATAATCATTTATATTTCCATTTGCAACTTCTCCACACATTCACAGACCGCTAATATAAGAATTATGACTCTATCAGTGAAAACAAAGACGTTCCTCTGAGTTTTCAGCATGTGAAAGACTGGTCTTCTATTCTTTTTGGTACATTCACAAACTCCTACATCTTGGCTTTCAAGGGATACTTGACAAGGCAAACAATCTTCCACAGAGACTAGAAGAATTTAGCAAAATAGTGACTTGCTTCTTTCAGTTGAGGACATATGGATACCAAATTAGATGTCTGATCCCAAAGGGACCTAATGCCTCTAGACTCTAAAATGTTAAATTGATGTGCACAAATAAAGCTCTATTTGAATGCACTTTACCATGAATGGAATAGAAGCACTTGACAACATATTCAATAACTGGAATTAAGGAGAAAAGTCAAAAACTAGGAAAATCAGGCTTGTAAGCAATGGGTTGTCCAATGAGAACCTCCTTGGCGAATTAGAAGGAAGGGGTTTTAAAATATTTCTAATATTTCTAATATTTCTAAAAAGAAAAACATTCAATGAAGCACTGTTGCGTTAGGGAGCTAGAAACAAAAGCAAGAGACTTTAATTGCAAAGTCCTTATTTTGAGTGGATTATTAGTCCTCTTATTTTCTTTAGAGCAGCAAACCCACAGATTTGTATTAAGTGACTCCTGCTCGCCTAGGTCTCTCTGGATATGGAGGATTCAGTGTTCCCTGGCTCATGAAATTTATATTTCAGGGAGGAAACAGACAAGCAAATACAGAAACAACCACGATAAGTTCAGGTATGATAAGCAGGATTAAACAAGTCTCTCTGTGAAGGAGTGATTTGTTGGAGAGTAGAAGGATAGGGTGGGGAGTGCTGATTTAGGCTAGGTGTTGGGGACTCTCTCCTAAAGTGGCGGTATTATTCTGACACCTGAAAGGCAAGAAGGAGCATCCTCAGCTGAGGAAATTGCTTGTTCAAGGCCCTGAGGAGGGAATGAACGTGGTACATAAAGGGAAGAAAAAGGTGGCTAGTGTAGTTGGAGCCTAGTGAGGAAAGGGATCATCCATGATGTGTTCAGAAGTAGGGAAAAACTGCAGCCTGAAGTGAGTTAAACGCATTTTAATTTTCTTCTGAGAGCAATGAAAAGCCTTTAGAGAGCTTGATCTGGTCACATGATCCAATTTGCATTTTGAGAAGACTCAGTCTGGCTGCCCATGGGAAATGGATTGTAGGGAAGCCAGTATAGAGCCAGGGATCCATTAATGGATGACTGTCCCCCTGGGAGAGGAACAATGGATGGTAGCTTGGGATGTAGTGGTAGCAGTGAAGAAGAGAAGTGGACAGATATGGATTGATTTGTTCTTTGTTGAAAGTAGTGTATGGAACTTGTTTGGCTCCTCGAAGGAGTTTAACAAATCGTAACTTATGTCATTGCTCCATTTTTAAATGCATAGCTTGCAGAGACTCATGGATTTGTGCTAACTCACACGACTAGTAAATTTAGCCAGTGTACAATTCCCACTGCCACCAGGTACTGTTATACCATTCACAAAACCCATCCTCCGAGGCCTCTCCCCCTTCCAATCTTCTCTGCGTTTGTTACTGTTCTAATCTTCCTCAAGCACTGCTTTCATTGTGTTTACCTTGCTGATAAGGACATTATATGTACTCGTGTAGTTATTGAGTAATTGCAGTGGACTATGCTTGTGTGTGTGGGTGGGGTTCACACACTTAAGCTATGGCTCTCCCCTCTAGGATTTTAGAATTTACTTGGGGAGACATAAGTAAATCCGTATGGAATAATAGACAGAGAAAAAAAGATGGCATAATTAACAAAGCTTTCATAAAGGAGGTTGGACTTGTTCTAGATCTTGAAAGAGACGCAGAAAGAGGCTGGGTGAAAAAGGAGCAAAGACACAGTAACATAGTTTTGTACCACAGAGAGGAGGATTGCTTGAGGAGGAGAGAGTACCTGCTTTGGGGAGGTGGGAGACAAAGTCACAGGGCAGCATAGTGCCAGACAATGGATGCTAGCAAAAGCTAGGTACCGCCCTAGCCAGCTTGGCTCAGTGGATGGAGCATCAGCCTGTGGATTGAAGGGTCCCAGGTTCGATTTTGATTCAGTTGGATGCAAAGAGTTATTAAGATTTGTAAATAAGATTCACTATTAGTGAAGGCTTAGCTAAGACCAGCGATCATTCCTCACTAAATTTCTAAGGTATTTATCATCAACTTTAGGTACTAAGCTTATTAATTCTTTGTACTTTTAAAATATATAATCTGTATGAGTGCAGCCTTATATGGAGAAGGTACAGAGGAAATATTTGATGATGATGAAAGACATGTATAAGGAAGATTAATTTGGCAATAGCATATGGCCTGCGTTGAAGAGAAGAAAGCCAGGATGTAGGAAAGTCATGAGGAAGTTGTTCCAGAAGTGCAGGTGTGAAGTAAAGAATGTGGAAGAGGCAGATAAAAGAAAATGCTTAGGAAACATAATTAAAGGGAGCTGTAATCGATTTGAATGCAGAGTGGGTTAAAAATTAATTTCAGTTTTTGAATATAAAGTTTTGAAGGACCATCATGCCCTTCAGGTAAGATGGAGAACTTGGGAGAGGGTATTAGTTTGGGAGGATTAAGAAGGGGAATTTGGCTTTGGACAGGCATTTGCTATGAGGACAGGGTATTCATTTAGAAATGATCTAGGAACTGGGCTAGATGAGAATGAAGTGACTTTTAGAGACTGCTGAAGGTTCATTATGATTTCACTCACGTGAACAAACATTTATAGAGGTCCTACAATGTGCAAAGAGCTATAGGATATAGAGTTAAAATCAGCACGGACTTTGAGGAATTAACTGCCCACTAGGAAAAACAGATATGCAAGAAAAGAATACAAAGTGAAATAAGAGTCAGAGGAGATATATGCTGGGTAAGTGAATTAAATAACATCTAGTGAGGAGTACAAATTTCCCACGTGAGAAAACCGACTTCGAGTCCATGAAAGTATCCAGAGGTAGTTCCTCCTGTTTAACTTTCCCTGACTGTTGCAGAGCCTTATTCAAGCTCATAAGAGCTTTAATAGGCGAAATTTAGCTGCATGGGAAAAGCAACTGCCTGCTCCCCATGGTGGCCTGCGAGAAGAATCTACCCCCGCCTGGGACGGGGGTCTCTTTTTTACAGGGGGATAATAGTAAAAAGCATATGGTGGGCAGTCACGTAGATCACTACAAAGAACAATGCACTTCTAAGTTAACAGATAACATCATGCAGTTCTCCACACTCTACACATTCATTAACCTCCTTGCTAGGGCCTGACGGTTATCTTTGGGCAGCATTCTGGCTTTCTGGGAAGTCAGTCAAACCTGAGGCTACAGGGAGTTAAACAGTCACAGAAAGTTAAACAGAGTTTCCAACATATCCCAGCTGCCTTCAGTGCTGGAGTCATATTAAATCTATAGAGTGAGTTCCACTATAGCACCCAAAGGCAATGATGTCTAAACGAGGCACAAGTAAGGCTGGCCACCAATTAGGTGTCCCTTCAGGAAACTTGTGTCCCATAAAGGCCTTTCTTGTTGAACAGTGAATGACAAGTGTATTCAGAGCCTCTCTCTTGGGGTGTTTTAAATGTAAGTCACAGAGAGTCGTCCCTAGAAGCAGAGGTAGCAGAAGCGGAGACCACTGTGAGAAAGAAGCAGAGAGATGCTGATTCAGAAGAACTGCAATACTCTTCTAGTCTGGGCAATAGATGCGTGTTAATGAGGGGATGAGCAAGGCATCCCAGCCTGCTGCTGGATTGCAAGGACTGCAGCTGATTCTTGGAATGAGCAGTAGCTCTGGCTGATGCTATGACTTTCTGAAATGTCCTTATTTCCTTAAACTAAGCCCTCAGAGTCTACGGTGCTCTGAACATGTCCTGGCATTTTACATATCGTAAGAGCCCAACTAACACAAGGGTATTCCTGTGGTTTGCTTTGATTACATCTGCAGAAGAGGGTACCTTATAAAGGAAAGGGTCAGGGTGATCTTTATAAGGCAAGATCAAAAGCATGCGGGCACGTGCACGTGTGTATGTGGCTGCCTTCCCAGAAGAGTGTAATGGGAGAGGGTAGAAATACAGTTGCATCTTAGAGCAAGCCTGGAACCCCCGGGTTCATGCTTTTTGTTACCCTTCTCACTCTTTACCCATTGTGAGCACAGTCCAGGACTGTGTGCATGTCCTGGGGGAGAGCAACGAAAGGAAGAGCCAGGAAGACTGCTCAATGGAGTCACCAGGCATGAGGAAGAGAAAGCCCCCAAAAGCAGAAAGTGCAGCTTCCCAGAGGAGAAGAGAGGAATTTGAGTAGTATCTAGATCAGTGGTTCTCAACCTTGGCTGCACGTTAGAATCACCTGGGAATCTTTTTAAAATCCTGATTTCTGAGCCTCATCCTCCGGAAATTCTGTTTCTTTGTTTGGGGTGGGGCCACAACATTAGTAACAAACAGAATTTCTGGAGGATGAGGCCCAGAAATCAGGATTTTAAAAAGATTCCCAGGTGACTCTAATGTGCAGCCAAGGTTGAGAACCACTGATCTAGATGAAAGTTTCCCAATGTACAGACTGCTGACCACAGGTTTAAGATCACATGATTTGATAAAAAGGAAGATTTCTGGTTCACCTTAGACCACCTGAATGGGATATTTGGATGAGGGGCCTAGGAACTTGCATTTTTCTAAGTATGTCAAATGCTTCATGAAGTGCTTACCTTTGAAATCCACTGCTCTGAGCCCACGGGAAAGGACGTGTTAGGGAGGCTGCTGGCTTCTGAGAAGGCACCCAGGACTGATTGGCGGGAAGGCTTGACATAGCTTATGTGTGCATTGCTGTAGACGGGAAAGGAAGGAAGGATAACGTGATCTATCTGCAAATGAAGCTGGATGATAACTGAGACCACATGAATGTATTCGGTTTCTCCTAATGCCAGAATTTTCATAATCAGCATAAAAGTGCAATATAAAGCTTCTCCCTCCCCTCTATATTTGTCCTTTTAAGATTTATGGAGGACTAACTCCAGGGAGAACATTGTATTAACAGCTGAAAGAGAGGACAAAAGCTCATCATGTACTTGAAGTTGGACTAAATAAATCAGTGATTCATATTTAAGTGACTACAAAGCAACATACAAGTAAGTGAAAATTCATTCACTTAACAAAAACTCACTGTGTCCATTATGCGCCGACTCTTTTCTGGACTTCCCAGGGTGTGGTTTTTCAGGTGGTGGCCTGGGTGAGCTTAAAGGCAGATTTTGTAAGAAGGTGAAAACAGAGATTAGAGAGAGTTTAAGGCACTTGTTCTAAGTGCAGATTTAGAGTCACAGATTTCAGGAGGGTACATAACATCAACATTCCACAAATATTTATTGCCTATTGTATTGTAGGCACTGGGAATACAGCTTTAGGTAAAAAAGACCCCCCCCACCCCCCCCAAATATACCTGCCCTCATGGAGCTTATGTACTGGTGGGAGAAATGAAAAAAAAAAAAGCTTACATAGTATATTAGAAGGTGATAATTGCTCTAGAGAAAAAGCAGGAAGAGAGAGAGATTTGGGGGAAGGAGGGAGAGATCCAATATCATAGATGATCTTTTGGGAAGAACTGGTTAGGACACATTTGAACAAAGATTTGTAAGTAGGTGTTGGAGGGAGCTTTGGGGATTTATAGTGCATGTGTGTTCCGCTTCCTGTCTTCTGCCTTTTCCACCTGGTGCCAATTGGTAAGCGAGGGAGACCCAAACAAGCTTTGCAGATCACAGCCCACAGAAGGAGTAGGAAGAAAGGATGACAGGTGGTGTGAGGTTGATGAACAGTCATAATAGTTGGGGTTTAAAATAATTGTCTTATTCGTGTTGTAGGATGTGGGCCATTTACCTTTCTAGCTAGTTTATCCACAGCAGATTCTGGGTTACTGCTAGCAAGTTTAATTGTCCCATTGTCCAATGTGTGAACTCCCTGAATGTTAACTGATGAATCTCAATCTTCTAATTAACGTTTGAGTAATTCTCCTCGGGTCCAAACTATCAAGGACATTTCTACGTAAAAATAATGAGCCTTCGGATGGTGCCCTCAGGGGCAATGGGTGTATTGGGGGTCCCTGCTTAGAGTGACCTGTGATGAAACAGCAAAAGCAAAACAACAGACCCTTGGAGTGATAAAACGGTTCGCCGGGTTTGTTAGGGCTTGGGGCTAGGTTCCCAGCTCCAGCGAGGCGGGTGATAACCCAGCCGAGATCTGAAAGCCCTGAGGTGGGGGGCCGTCTGCC